AAACCAGGGATCTTCTAGCTGCGAGGCGACGGTGCTAACCACAGAACCACCTTGCAGTCCACATTTAAAAACATGAGGGATAGAAAACTAAATTTTAACAAAATGCAATCCAGTATGGCACCTACTACTACACTAACTACATAAGTACAACAACCATCTAGTTGTATTAACACCCCAGGACAACAAAAAACTGAACATATCCTTTCTAAATGTACAATTTGTGGCAGATTTATTGTTTGAGTTCAACTGTAAAGGTGTAATAACATGGCCAGGGAGTGCATATTTTTGGTCACTTACTCTTACTCTGTGGGGACAGTTCTTTTCTAATTGTGCTCTGGCATTCACATTACTCTGCTTAGCAGCACCCTGTCTAATTGCATGTTTTTATGTAAATAAAGTTCAAATTAAGTTCAGCCAACCTAATGAAACACTTGACAACCAAACGCAGAGGTGAGCTTACACAACTGAGGAATACGTTTAACTCGATGGTTTAGTGCTTGTTCCCATAAGGGGCTGAAAAAGACTGATCTGGGATCCCTTTAAAAACCTTTTAAGAACAAATGAATGATGAAGTATACTTGAATTTAAAGCAGCCGAGCAGCTGTTTCACTTGGACTGAGAACTAGAAACCATAACTGTTCTTAGACTTCAATTTGGAAATCATGTTAGCTCTTTGGAACCTTGAAAACATTGAAAAAATTAAAAATGTCATTAATACATTTTCAGCATATTTTTAATGTAAAATGATTAATTATTTTTCAAAGATAGCTCTGCAAATCCAATAACACATTCTCATTTCTCATGGCCTACGTTGAAATGATGAATTTCTCACTAAAAAGTAAAAGAAAGGAAATTGAACATTTGCTTGGCATTAACCAGCAGAGGAATTCTATTCATTAGTTTTTTGTTTTTTTGTCCAACAATATAAAAAGTATTTGTGTTAATGATGTGAAAGACAAAAGCAAGCAAATTAAAATTTAAGAGGTTGTAACCAGTCAGTATTGTTTATGTAAAATTTAACTGGGAAACAAAGTCACTGATTACATTTCTGCCACATGACACATTTTCTGACTAATCCTTTCATCACAATCCAGAATCAAAGGACAATTATGATCAGTGCTTTGATTGTAAATCAAACTACATCATCGTATCAGCAAGTCAAATCCTATCATTAAAGGACTGTGTGCAGGCTCACCAACACTAACGCAGGTGGTTTCTCAACGGAGGCCTTAACACGAGAATACTTTTATTGTTAAAGTAGGAAATGGTAACTTTACATGTTAACATTAATTGAACATATTGAGCTAACCTAAAGCAAAGCACAGAAAATAATGATGTTGTGACAAAGCTATGTGAATAATACAATAACTGCTGGATAATGCTGCCAAACATGACAGTGTCATCCACAAAGAATTGTAGTCCACTGAAAATGCAGGCAGCTGTGCACTGCTGCAAATGATCTTAAGCCAAGTGCTACATAAGATGGATATGCAACACTAATTTATGTCACATTTATCTTCTAATTTATGTATTCTTGATAAATATACAACTGATTGAGCAAAGATGTTTTTATTAATAAACTGTAAGTCAAGTCTAAGTAAGGCTCGCTGGGCTTCTCTGAGAAGTCAAAAGTTATCCAAGCGCAACATTCAACCTCAAAAAATAATCTTTCTGTTCAAGGATGCAAGTAAATAACTATAATTTGACATCTTAATAAAGAAATAATAATGTGCTTTCTTATTGTTTCAGTTTTTGTTTTATTTTTTGTAAAACTGTAAATTTGAAAAATCATGGATAACAATAATAATTATATTTTAGCATTAAAAATGTGATTTTGGTTAAAGAGTTTCTACATACTGGTATATTAACCATTGCAGAAACATAAAAAATATATTTTGGGAATTACCAATGCTGCTAATTTATGGCAAAAGTGGCATAAACCTTAGATTGGATGGTGGTCTGATACATTTGATAAGCACTGTATTATCAGACAAATTATATATATATATATATATATATGTACACAAATAAACAGATGATCAGAACAATGATATGTCAAACGGAAACCACCTCAAATAGGTTGCATGGCCGTACACATGTGCCACGATCAAAGAAAGCTGCTTCATGCTTTCCCTCCTCAACACCTGATCCCCCGTTAGAGTCACACAGGAGCATCTGTCTGTAATAGTGGTAGCCCCCGATTACACAACATCATTGTGGGAAGCAGAATTGACCCAGCTGATGTCACCAACAGCATGATGGGTCAGACGCAGAGCCTGGGAAATGCATCCTGGGTTCGGACCAACACTGGTGAATG